GCCTGCTTGGCCATCAGTGTCCACGTCCAGCGCCTCCCACCTGCAGGTCTGAGCCCACCAGAGGAGAGAGGAGCTGCTGGCCCTGCTGCAGCTTTTCACCTGGAGATTAAGTCTGGCTCAAGGCTTCCAACATGCTCTGGGCCAACGTGCTCTCAGCTGTGCGTGTCAATGGTGGGGACCCGCATGACGCTGTGTGTGCGCAGTAGTCAATAAGTGACATGAGATATTCGGCACTTCAGTATAAAACAGGCTTTGTGTTCATGACTGTGTCCGACTGTAGGCTAGTGAAAGTGTTCTTGTGCTAGCCGGGGGGGGGGGGGGGGGGGGGCGCGGCTATCTGTGGACTGAGGCTTCCAGGCTGAGATCGCAGAGGTGGGCGTGTGCCTGGGAGTGAGGCACAACTGGCAGGGCTAGGGGACTTCGGGGGCTAGCGACCCGTGGTGGGGACTTTGGCTCTCACTCTGAGTGTCACAGATATAACAGTAATCTGCGGTGGAGGTTGAGGTGTGAGCAGGGAGGCCAGTGAGGAAGCTTCTGGAACCTGCCAACCTCAGCAGTGACCTGCAGCAATAAACACAGCAGAGTCACTGGCGCATCCTGGTCCCTGTGCAAGAACTCCTCAAACCTTCCACCAGCCCGCTTCCCACTGCATGGACCTTAGCCATCGATCTCACACCAGGAAATGTAGGCTTTAAACAAGTGGGTGTTCAGACACTGTCAATGTATACATCTTCTGCAGAATAACATCTCTTGTCTGCATCAGGTTTAGTGATTTTGTTAAACAAACACACACATGGGACTTAGCATGGACCGTCCACTATTGTAGGGACTCACTCACTGAACCTTCCTAACAACCCCATGAGGCTGCTGTTACTAATTGCTCCATTTTACAGAAGAATCAAGGCTCAGAGGGGTTAAATAATGTACCTAAAGCCTCATCAGGGGGAACAGCAGAGCTGGGATTTGAACAAGGCAGAATGGCTTTGAAGTCCATGCCCTTAAGCACCTTGCAGGTGTCCTGTCCGATCATCATGCCCTCGTGCCTAGTGTGGCAACCATTTGGGTTTGTGTCTTATGAGCTCTGCTAAACTGCGAGCTCCTTAAGGGGAGAAACCCTTCATCTCTCCCTTACACCTCCCATAGTGTGTGCCACATACAGGCCACTGAGTAAGTGTGTGGATGGGTAGGTGAATGAGTGTGTGGATAAATGGATGGATGGGAGGATGATAGATGGATTGGTGGGTGGATGGGTAGGTGGTACATCAGTGGGTGGGTGGGTGAATGTGTAGGTATGTGGATGGAAAGAAGAATGAGTGGATGGGTGGGTGGGTAGATGAATGGATGGTGAACGGGTGATCGAGTGAATGGATGAATGGCACATGGGTGGATGGGTATATGTGTGGCTGGATGGTAGATGGGTGGGCGGATGGTAGATGGATGAGTGGGTGGGTGGATGGGAGTATGGATGGATGGATAGATGAATGGGTGGGTGGATGGATGGGTGAGTGGGTGAATGAATGGATGGATGCATGGGTGGAAGGGACTGTGGGTAGGTGAATGGATGGATGGGTGGATGAGTGGACTGGTGAACAGATTAGCAAATGGAGGAATGGGATTATAGTTCTGTGTTTAAGAAGTCCAAATCCTTAAAGGAGAACTGCTGGAAATTTCCACATGTTTTCCTTCTGCAGTCTTTGACAAATGTTCCACAGCAGAACAAAGTTCAGCTGTAAAGTGCCTCCTCTTTTCCTGAGGAAAAACAGCACCTCTTTTTTCTTTCCTGAAAGTGACGCAAAACATCTCTCATAGCCCCAAACAGATCTGCCACCTAAGGGTCAGGAGCTGGGACCTTCACCAAACACATACCTCATTAAAAGTTCCCCTGAAATTAATGTCACCACTGTTTCGTGACCGCAAACAGAGCATTAAGCAAACACTGAGACGGGGAGAGCTCGTTACCCCAGGCTGTTAAGTGGCGCAGGACGGGGGCAGCCACATTTAAAGCCAATTAAGACGCCTCACCCTGGTTGTCAGTGGCACACGAGGGACTGGGACGTCCCCCAGCACGTAGTAGGCACCTCATAAAATGAGTAAAACAGACCAACAGGGTCAGGTTTGCAGGCTACACCAATGGTGCCCTGTCTGGGGTCCCCACGTCACCTTCCCGGGGCCAAGTGTGACAGGGACTGCAGCACTCAGAGCCCAGGATGATTCGTGAACACATAGAACAGATCGTTGACAACAGTGACTCAGTCATCTGTTTCTATTTAACAAACACTTGCGTGACGCTTTCCTGCCAGGGGCTGTCGGAGGTGCTTTATGATTATTAATTCATTTAATCATCACGTCAGCCTTCTAAGGGAGGGACTTTATTGCCCCATTTTGAGGACGAGGACACTGAGGTGCAGAGAGGGACGCACAGCAAACCGTGGAACAGGTTCTGGGCCAGACACTGAGCCGAGCCGTCCACGTCTGCAACAGTCCTGTCTCCCACCGTCACATCAGGCTCATGGGGCCTGGAGCACAGCGGGGGCTGGTTCGGAAGAGGCTAGGGGAGGAACGCGCTCAGGAGACAGAGCCCGTCGTCTCCGAGGCAGAGCCTGGCCAGCACCCCGCAGGAGCTGGGTGAGCCTTGGCTGCCTGGTGCACCGAGCCCCACGTGGATGGGATCCCACGGAATGGGGCAGCTGGGGCAGAGCCCACGCTGCAGGCTCTGGGAGCCCTGGGGCCGTCTCCGAGCAATCCTAGAAGGTGCTGTGCTTCGCTGGGCCTGGGGGGCCGCCTGCAGCCCTCTGCCCTCCCACACCTCTTCTTCCTTGTCCGACCGTTGGTTACTTTCGCTCCGCCTCTGGCGTCTGATTCTGCTTTGGGGAGCCATTCTGCCACCCCTTCTCAGCCCTCACAGCGAGGACAAGATGACCCCATCCTCACCTTTAGGAACACCGTAGGGGTTTGAAATGTGCACCCCGATTCTTTGACATTCCTGCGGTCAAGGGGTGGTCTACGTCCACTGGTTGGCAGGAGTGATGCCGGGCCAGCTCTGGCCAGCCGACAGCTTCTGCCTCTCTCTGGACACTCACTCTGGGAACCCGGCTGCCGGCTCGGAGGCCACCTGGCCACCCATGGAAGGACCCACGTGAAAGAAAGCTGTGGCTGAGCTCTAGGCAGACGCAGGCGCAGCAGGGTTCACTACTATCCCGGCCAGCTGACAAGGAACAGATTCCGAGTGATGTCACGCTGTTGCGCCGCTGCATCGCTGTGTGTCCCAGACGTGCACTGCGGCGCGCCCAAGACAGATGCTGGACTCGATGTTGTGACAAAGGAGGACGCATCCCTGTGACACTGCAGCTCGCTGCGTCCGGGGACTAATCCCTCCTCGTCCCATCTGTGGAAAGTGAAAGGACCCAACTCGCTGCTCTCCGTGGGGCTCAGGCCCCCCGCAAGGAAAGAGCCCTCGGGGCAAATGGCATCTGTTCTCATTTCTATAATGTCATCATTTCAGAGGATTTGGGGACAACTGGACATCTACATGCAAAAGAGTGAAGCTGGACCCCTCCCTCACACCATAGACACACCAAAATTGAATAAAATAAAAAACCTAAATGTATGAGCCAAAATTACAAAACTCTTAGAAGAAAACCTAGGTGCAAACAAACCTCTGTGACTCTGGATCAGGCAACGGTATCTTAGACAGGACCGTATTACCTAAAGCAAGAGCAATCCAGGAAAAAAACAGATAGTTTAATTCACAAACATTTAAAACTTTCGAACTTCAAAGGGCATCACTAAAAAAGTAAAAAAGGCAGAAGAGGAGAAATTATTTGCAAATGATATATCTCATAAGAGTCTAGTACCCAGAATATATACAAAAACACATACAACTCAACGACAAACAACCCAATTAGATAGACAACCCAGATAGACAACCCAATTAAAATACAATGTATTTGAACAGACATTTCTCCAAAGCAGATATGCGAATGTCCAACAAGCACGTGGACAGATGCTCACCATCACTAGTTGTTGGGAAATGAAAATCAAAACCGCAACGAGGGGGGAAATGGGATTATACGAAACCTTAAATCTGTACCCCCATAATATGCCGAAAAAAAAAACGCAACGAGATGCCACCTCACACCTGTTGGGATGGCTGCAATCAAATGACAGATATTAATAAGTGTTGGCAAGGATGTGGAGAAACTAAAACCCTCACGCACTGCGGGCGGTAACACAGAATGGTGTACCTGCTGTGGGCAACAGCCTGGCAGTTCCACAAAACACTAAACACAGAGCTACTGTACGACCCAGCTATTCTCCTCCCAGGTACACACCCAAAAGAAATGCAGACATTTGTCCACACAAACACTTGCACATGAGTGTTCAATACAGCATAATTTGCAACGGCCAAAAGGTGGAAACAACCCACTTGTCTATCAACCGACAACTGATAAACAAAACGTGGCACATCCATGCAATGGGATATTATCCAACCATAAACAGAAAGGCAGTCCTGATACACGCCTCAACATGGATGGACCTGAAAAACACGCTAAGTGAGAGAGTCCAGTCTCAAAAGACCACATATTGTGCAATGCCACTTACATGAAATGCCCAGAACAGGCAAATCCGCAGAGACACCAAAGAGCTTTGTGGTTTCCAGGGACCAGGGGAGGAGGGGAAGGAGGAGAGATGGCTTAATGGAGATGGAGTTTCTTTTTACAGTGATGAAAATGTTCTGGAATTGGTGGTGATGGTTGCACAACACTGGAAATATATTTTAAAAAACAACTGAATTTTATACTTTTAAAAAAGTGAATTTTACAATATGTAAAATTAATCATATTAATCAGATTTAAAAATTCAATTCACATGCAACTGTTATCCAACGTAAAGTGAAACCCACCTTAAACAGGTGCAAAGACCACCTCGGAACCCTCATCCAGGGGCACAGAGATGGGGAACAAGCCCATCCTGAATGAAGGGGAATCAGAGGGGATCACTTGTGAGTTTCACAAATAACGTTTATTGACCGCACTCACAACAGAATCTCACCCAATCCATACCAACTCCGCTACGGCTAAGAATCCCCTGATGGTAAATAATCTGGGTTGGATTTGGGGTGTGAATTATATTATATGAGAAAATATGGACATCACAGACTCCTCCCGATTGGAGGTCTGTCGTTGATGATCTTGATTGTGGCTAACATTTTTGTTGATGCTCTCGACAGTAGCTGAAGATTCCAACTTCAAACCCAAAAAATCTGGCTGGGAAACAAAGAGAGAGGCAGTTACTAGGAAGTGGCCCCCAGGCTGAGCCCCCACTGCCCTTGGAGTGCCCTTGGCCGGCGGCCTCCACAGGGTGGGTCCGCACAGTGCTCAGGGCCTGCTCATTCTGGAAGGGGATGACACTCCTGCTGTGAACAGATGAAGGCCAAGGCGGGTCCACCCCTGATCCGGAGGGCTCCCTGGTGGGAATTCTGAGCTCACCCCTCTCCAGCCAGGCCAGCGGATGGCCAGCTGCAGCTCCTCCCGAGATAGCCTGGCACGTGGCCCGGGGGGGGGGTCTCACAAGGCACCCACACACCCCAGGCAGACAACACACATTCTCCCAAACAGCTGGCAGGTGCCTGCCCCTGTCCTACAAGCTCAGCTCAGAAGTAAACACACACCTGCTACAGAACTACAAAGTGGGGGGCTTCCCCAGCCTCCGTGGAACCCCCGCCGCCCATCACCCCTCACCCCCTACAAGGGTGGCACTGTGCCCAGGGCCTACCGCCCCCCCAGCTCGCCTGCGCACCGAATGGCCATGATGACCCTCAGGACGGCCTGGAGCAGTGCGAGGAGGCAGAGGCCCAGGGGCAGCAGGTAGGTGGGGCCGCTGGCTCCCGGCCCCGGAACAGGTGGCCTGTCCCCGTGAAGTGCCTGGAGCTGCTGCCACCTGAGCAGGAGGCGGCCATCGTCACAGCAGATGCGCCAGCGGTTGTGCCGGGAACTCGAGTCCAGGGGGGCCTCTGGGTGGAGAAAGGGCAGGTGTGAGGTCAGGGGAGCAGCCTCAGGGGTGGGGACACTGACCCCGCCCAGTGGATGAAGAAGGTCCTGCCGGCCTTGACTTCCTGGGTGGTAGCGGCCCCGGGCTGTGCTTCCCAACAACAGTCACCATCCCCTGGTGGCCATGCAGTGTGCAGGCAGGAGGAAGCTGGGACTTGCTCCAAAATCACCTTTTCTTTCTGGAGAGGGGAAGGGGGTGGGTGAAGACCAGGTGAAACCAGGTCAGACACTGGCGATGGGCACAGGGCGTTCTTTAAACCAATCTCCACCTCGACGAGTATTTGAAATTTTCCACGACGTAAATTCCTGCTGAGTGTGGGAGTCTCCACAAGGGATTCGGTGGAAGGTTATGCACGTTTTACAATATGACAGCTGCCTCCAAATTGACCCCCACGAAGGCCGTGACAAATTGCACCCCAGCCAATGGTGGGACTTTTATCAATTAAGAAAAAGGCACTTATGTGTACACCATGAAGAGGTGGGCGTGTTGGTGGGTGATTATTCATTCCCCAAGCACCGCCCCCCTTCCCCCGTGCTCTAGGAGTTCCACTCAGACCACGCTCCCTCCCTGGGAACCCAGGAACCCCAGAACCCACCTCCATTCACAGATTCACGCATTCACAGGCACAGTCAAGGCCGACCCCCTCGTTTCAGAGACAGAGAAAGTCACGGTGGGTGGAGATGTCGATGCCCCAGATAGGGTGTCAGGAGAGCGTGGGAGTGCAGATGTCCGTGTCACAAACGTAGGAACAGACACCAGGTCACAAACACACAGATACAAGAATATGCGGCACGCGTGTGAGCACATACTACACCCATAACGAATGTAGGACTGTATAGACACTAGGTCCCCAGTATACGAATTATGAATATAGCATGTTGTGAACAGGTGCATAAATGTTGTGTTTTGAACATACGATGTGTCATGAACACACCAATGCGTGAGCGTATGGTAGGATATACAGGAATACGGGCTATGCCATGAATACATGTGCATACACACAGCCCGACTATGTCATGAATTACAGAAGATTAGAGCTTAAATAAAATCCACTGCAGATGTCATCGAGCTGACTTAGAACGGGGTTCCATTGGAAGAGCCACCGCTGACAGACAGGCGGGATGGCCTGGGGAGCTGCGGCTGCTCTGGAGTCACTAAGGAAAGATGGTGAGTGACCACTGGTGCCTGGTGAAAGCAGGGCAGGGGACCCACAGGCATGTCACCACTGTGGTCCTCTTTGTCCCTCAGGGGTCTGGGGACGGGAGGAGTCCCCCCACCCACCATGACGGTCCAGGAGGAAATGAGATGAGCCTCACGGAGTTACCTTGGATACCTTTAGCACTCTGCTGCCTCCTCGCCACCTATGAGACAAGAACAGGGCATGTGTGTCAGCCCAGCAACCCACGAGAGGGGAGGGCCTGGTGACTTGGACTCGCACCCTCTGGGCAGGAGTGGTGGCCCACTCAGAACGCCAGCCGTGGTCCCTTGTTACGTGGTCCCTGTGCTACTCAGTGACGAAAGCCAGCAGCTGGAGGTGTGGGCGAGGGAATGAAGGAAGCCTCTGCCTCCCTCCCAGGGCCTGGGGACGCAGGGGAGAGAAGGGCCCGCTGGGCAGCAGCGCTTTCCTGGGACGGGTGCTGTGGGGGCGGCCAGATGGACCAGAGAGAGGACAGGAAATCATGATGGTCCTTCCCAACCTCCCTGTGCCAGGGCTGGGTCTACAACCCCAGGATGCAGGACAGACACAGGACAGAGATGGAGGAGGGCTGGGCCAGGTCAGGGAGCAGGGAGGGGTGGGGGAGAAGAGGAAGAGGGAGAAGAGGAGACCAGGAAGCCCTCCGAAGACAGCTGGGAGACCTGCACGGCCCTCCCTTGGGCCCACCACTTTCCATGCTCTGCAGCCTGCCATAGTGATTAGAGCACCCTCTCTGGGCAGTGGCAGAGGCCTCTCTTGGGGACCTCTGGGCACCCCATGCTCCCCTTCACCCTGTGGGCCCAGCCCTCCTCACCTGCTTCTGTGACCTCAGGACCCGGGGCACCCAGTAGGGCATGGCTGCCTGGTCCCTGGGCACTGGGAGGTGGCCCCCGAAGCGGTGGCACGGGCAGGGGCACATCTTGGTGGTTTGGGGGATATAAGACCGGAGCCTCTTTGGGATCTAACAGAGAGGAAGGGAAGAGCAGGTTGAGAAGGGGCTGGAGCCACACCCAACACCCGCTGGGCCCGGAGATCTCCTCCCGTGTCCCTCCGCGTCCAGACACACCCAGAGGTGGGGGACACAGGACCCCCGTGGCCTGCCTGCCCTCATCACCCACCGTCTGCCCCTGTGCTGTAGGACATCCACGTGGCACCCAGGCAGAACACGCGGGGTGGTGTCGAGAGATCTGGCCCTGTCCTGAGCCCAGCGCTCTACAGCAGTGGCCCTTGGGCAAAATAGTTAGTGTCCCAGGCCCCAGCACTCTCAGCCGGAAGAGGGCTCTGCTGGCATCTGACAAGTCGCCAGGTTCCTAGACACAGCCTGTGACCGCGCAGTCCCACCCCCAGGGATACATCTTCCGGGGACACTTTTGCATTTGCAGCATCGTGTGCACAGGAATATTCACTGCGCCATCATAGTCTGTAGTGACCGGACAGCCTGCACGTCCATCAGAAAGGGACAATAGGTGATGGATGGCCAACAAGAGGGCAGCGGCCGCCTGCAGGAGGGGAGAGCAGAGCTGTCTGCACTGGGGGTGGCTCTGAGGCCAGAGCTCAGACTCCTCACTGAAACCCGAGCTGGGCCTCGCGGCAAGGTCAGACCCGCACTTTCCATTTTAATTTCATTTAACTGCATTTAGGGATAGAATGTTTTTGCTTCTTTTCCTATTAGTCTGCATTTCCTTATGCATCAGTGAACCAGCTCCCCGGAGTTGGATCCACCTCAAATCCCACAGGTAGCACTAACGTTCACCTTCAGTGAGCACCGCTGGGGCTCCTCACCCGGGTGACACGTGGCCACCCAGGAATCAAAGGTGCCTCACCCCCCACCCTTTCAACCTTCTCTCCCCAAACCACATGCTTCCCTGAGCCAAGGCCACTCTAGCAAATCCCACTTCGCTGACACCCACCCTTAGAAACACAGGAAAACACGATGCTTCTGACACCGCGTGTGGGAGAGGTACCCACACACCAAGCAGTACTCAAATGTTCATAGCAGCTTGATCTGCAACCGATTAAAAGTAGAAACAATGCAAATGTCCTTCTGGATGAACACACTATGACCCATTCATAAAATGAGACATAAACTATCAATGCCACCGGGTAGATGGACCTCAAGATAATGGCCCCAAGTGCAAGAAGCTGGACAAAAACAGTAGGTATTACTGGTTCCATTTATATAAAACTCTAAGAAATGCGAACTAATCCATGGTGACAGAAAGCAGACTGGGGTTGGCCCGGGGATGTCAGGGTGTGGAAGGTTGCGGGGGGATCACTCGGGGGCCCCAGGAAGCCTCCGAGCGCTGTGTGTATGCTCGTTACCTCACCACAGTGGTGGTTTCACAGGGGAATACATGCATCAGGACTCAGCAATCCAAGCACTTTACATAAGTGTAATTTGTCACATGCCAATCATACCTCCAGAAATCTAGTTTTTTAAAAATGTTTTAAAAGAATCACAAGCTGTGTCCAGAAATTTTTAAATAGCATTCACGTGAGACTTATAATTCTGATCCCCTGATGTGTACCCTGCACCTAGGTGAAGACCCCCTGGTTCCAGTCACCTACCTGCTTTGGGGGTCTCAGGGACAGAGGCACCCAGTAAGGTAGCGCCGCCTCAGCCCTGGGCACCGGCAGGCGGCCCCCGAATCTGGTCTGGCACTCACAGCAGGTGGGCTCCCGGAGAACAGCGCAGGGGCCAGGGTACATCTGAGCAGGATCCAGAAAGGACAGAACTGAGCATGACACTGCACTCACGGTGCAGCCGAGGAACCCTGGCATAGCAGGGCGATGCTCAGAGCAAGAATGTCGGGGGCAGGGACAGGTGCCCCAGCCCCTACAGCAGCTCAGAAAGAGGCAGGTGACGGTGGCTCACCCTGAGGCCCTCCAGACCTGGATCTGCAGACCAGAGCATGCTGGGATGCCCAGCCAGTGACTGCCATGTTACTGCAAACAAGTCTCACGGGCCCCGTCTGGAAATGGTGGAGTACAACCAGCTCTAGAGGCTTGCGGGGAGATGAGTGTTGCCTTTAGGGCCACCTGTGCCATTCATGGTCTGGAAGGGCTGAGTCTGAGGTCTGAGTGCTTCATGTCTGCAAGGGCTTTCACATCGATCCCACAGGACCCTCGCAAGACTCACAGGCAGGAAGGAGAGGGGCTGTCATCACTTCTAGGGGCAGATGGAGATACTGATCCCCAAACCAGGTACGTTAGGTGGCCTGCTGGTTCTCCCAGGGCTCCTAAACCCAATGAGGTATCATGGAACCAAGAGGGTGGAGGGGAAAGTGGGTGGCAGCGGGTGCCCCTACATAGGGGTTTGAGGACTCAGTGACGGCCCTGAGATCACAGACTTTCTTGTGCTGTGCATCCTCTCATGAGAGGCAGCTTTTGGACCCACATTTTCCATTCTCCTTGCCCCACAGGGTGTGTTAAGGTTGTGGCACAGTGACCGAGGGTTTGCTTTCCTTACCGAATGATCTGTGAGGCACACTTCTTTCCTGAAGGTTTGAAATGTGCTCTGCCTGGGAAAAAAAAAAAAAAAAGAGGAAGACTTAGAAAACTCCAGGGTTTGCATAAACTGGGGGGGCAGGGAGCTAGGGCAGGGGCCTGGGCCAACCTTCTTGGAACAGACTCTTATCAATAAACCCCTGGGGTGCGGGAAGGTCATCCTTCTGAGCCCAAGAAGGGTCCTGGGGAGACATCAGAAGCAGGTGTGTGCTTGCTAACGTCTGGGAGTTCCTGGATGCCAGCTCTGTGGAATCCTGCATTCCCAAGCCAACTTGCTGCAAGTATATTCCAGCTAAACTTGTGCTTAGACCACCAGGAAAGATGGGAGTGTTCCAACCTGGTAAGAACTTTCCAAGACCTTGAGCTGCCAATCACACCACCTATGACGCTTTGTCAGACACCCCCAGCTTACTGAAATACTGAAGGAAAATACTGTCAAAACTGTACATTCATGAAACTCCTTCCAGTATAAAAACCCAGGTGCTTTGTCTCTGGGGTGGCAGCATTTGGGGGTACACAGCTCTGGGTTACTCTTCCCCATCCTTCACCCCAACACATTGCTTGAATGTTGGCCACGTGGAGAGTCTCCAGTGGGTACAAATCAAACACAAAGCAAAGCCCTGTTTCCCTGACGGTGGCGTGTCAAAGTGCTTTGTAACCTGGAAACTACAAGAGTGATATAAGTGTTTTTGCATTTCATTATCATAATCATTTTTATTGCTATTGTATTAGAGTAATAGAGTCAAGCATCTACTCTCCCAGCTGATGCTTGAAAACAGAGGCTGAGGGGTGTTGCCCTGCATGGCATACCAGCCCCCTTCCAGTGCCTCAGAGGAATGTGCCTCTGGAGGCTCAGCCCTGTTCATAGGTCACGACTTTTAACGGTTAAAAAACGCAGCCAAGCAATCCGAGCAGAGCCCGGGAGCATCCTGTAACAGCATTGCTGTTTTCTTGGGGGGCCATAACCCATCTCAGTCCATGTGGCTCAGGTGGCTGAACTCACCATTCCCCGGCCTGGAAAGTGAGGCCAAGCTGGTCTCTGAGATTGGCTCAGTATGGTGGCATAACACAAGTTGGCCCAACGAGACTTGATTCTGGGACTCTGTGCTGGACATATTGGGGAAAGAAACTCTCCTTTTTTCGGTTGGGGTTGATAATTTGATAACATGTAAACCTCAGGAAGTCTTGGTGATCATCCTGTCTCCACGAGGGAATCCAGCACAAAGTAAAAGAAGCCCAGAGACGAGGAGGAGCCGTCCAGGACCACTGTCCTTGTGCACCTGGATACGCCCATGCCTGTAGGCTTATTCCTCAAAGTTTCAGTTCTATGAAAACAATCAGTTGCCTCTTTGTGCTTAGGCCGATGAAGACAGGTTCTGGACGGTTCTGACCGCGAGTCCCGCCTGCGTGGAGGTAAGGCGAGCCAGGCGGGATGCTCACAGGTGTGGTCCGGGCACAGGCGGGCAGGGTTCAGGGGTGCACTTGCCTGCATAATGCGCTCTGACTGTGCGTGCATGACTACCGGACCGGACCGAACCCCACCACAGGCAGAAGTGCCCTGGGCCGCTCAAACAGCATCGCGATGACGACGGCGACCACAACGCCAACAAAAACGGACAGTGGCTCACATGGGACCTTCACACCATTGTCTGCAGCCTCGCTGCCCGAGCCAGCCCGTCCGCCCCCTCTCCCTCCGCCCCGACCCGGACCCGGAGCCGGTCCGGGTCGCGAGCCCTCGTGGATGCCACCCAACAGCTTCACTCGCGCGCGCCCGTGACCCGCCCCGCCGATTGGCCCACATCCAGCCAATCAGACGCAGCCTTCTAGCGACGTGAACTTAGCTGGTTGCTGATTGGTCATTCGCCGGGGTAACTAGGGTCAGAGGGTGGGAGCGCGGCCGCGCCCCCTCTACCCGCCTGGCCCTAGGGTGCCGCCCACCGTGTCCAGCGGACGCTCCGGGGAACCACCGGGCGCCCCAGACTGGGGCTCCGTCCCCTGCGACGAGAGAACGAGGTGGGGCCGGGCGCCGAGCCTGCGAGGGCGACCCTCCCCGCGGTGCGAGGACAAGCTGCACTGAAGGGCCCCCGGGCTCCTCTGAAATCTCAGGTAGCCGCGGCGTCCCGACCCGGCCGCCCTGGCGTGGGCTCGAGCTGTGACCCTCAGAGGAATGTGCCTCTTGAGCAGCCTGGGCGTCAGGGCCGCGCGTTCAAACAGCCGCCATCCGGAGGGCCCTGGGCCCCCTAGGCCACCGCACTCCGCCCCCGAGCATGAGTGTGCCCTCTTCCTCTCTCGTTAAGTCCCTCAAGTCATCTCGAACTCTAATTGGTCCCACTTTTCAGTATTTTCATGGGGACTCTAGTACTCTTAGTATTTGTATTTGCCCAAATTCCATCAGAAAAAAACTCTAGTCCTGACGGGCGATAGATACCTCAGACGTGCTGTGGTCCAGCCACGGAGCAACAGGATGCTCCCGGGCTCTGCTCAGATTGCTCGGCTGCGTTTTTTAACCGTTAAAGTCGTGACCTATGAACAGGGCTGAGCCTCCAGCCAGTTCATACATGCATGCTCTCCTGGCCAGCACCCCTGCTAATTGGGTAGTGCCCAATTGGCTCTTAAATATTTCGAATGTAACCGTGTGTGTGTGTGTGTGTGTGTGTGTGTGTGTGTAAATAATGTTGTCACTCGCCTTTTTCTAGCTGATGACAAAATTATCCAAGAATCTCACCATTAGCTTAGCATTTTTACTTATGACTAACTCATTTCTGCCCACTTTGGAGCACTCTTGGCTTCTCTGCTGCCTCCATTTTCTTCCTGAGCCCACTGAAACGTCACTCTAGCCCAACAAGTTACAGAAGATAGGCTCATGGCCCTGGAAGCGCTGACCATCACCTCTGGGACACTGTCTTGTTTTGTGTCAAGAATAGCTCATCACCACTACCCAAGAATGGCTCAAATGAAAAGGACTGGCAGTGCCAAGTTTGTCAACGATGTGGCAGCTGGAACCCTCATTCATTGCTCATGAAATTGATACACCATAGCAAACTGGCAGCATTTATAAAACTTAAAACACGTGAATACTCTATGACCAACTAGTTCTTTGCCTCACTTAAGAGAAATGAGAGCTTATGTCCACCAGAAGATATGAACAAAAAGATCCACAGCCACAAACTGGAAATGACCTAAATGTCCATCCATAGGAGAAAATATTTTAGAAAGTATGACATATTCACACAGAGGAATGCTACAACAATGGAAAAAAACACACAACTGCAACCCACAGCGTGGGTGAAGCCTAGAGACAAAGCATCCAGACCCCAAATGTACATAATCATCACACCTGTGTGATGTTCAGGAAAGCAAATCCGTGACAACACAGGGTGGTGATTCAAAGGAAACTCTGCCCGAGCAGCCCCTGAGTGTTCAGAGTAAAAAGTTACCAGAGACAGATACAGACAGGTTGCTTAGCTTTTCTCAGTTTTGTTTGCAAATAATCACAGAACCAGTCCCAAGGAAGTATGAGAAGACAGAGCGTGACAAGTGTTTCAAAGAGCCAGGCACAGACTGAGTGTTCATTACACACCGGCTTATTCTGTGAGCGTGGCTGAGTGGCACTTTCTCCTCTCTGTATGTCCCCTTTCCCTTCCTGCGCCAGGCAGGAGATCAGCTTACTGCTGATCAGGAGAGGGAGGTGGGGCCAGAGAAGCTCCAGGTTGCCAAGTGTTTTTCTTCCAGGCTTTTCTTCCCAAAGCCCCAGGTAGGAAGGAGGCGCAGCTCTGTGAGTCCCAGAGTCAGGGGGACCAAAGCCAAACCTACAGAAGCTGCTTGATCCTGGAGAGAGACAGTTGCAGGTGCCTCCCAGAACATGCCTCCCAGGCAGCCTGTGACCAGGCAGAAGCAGGGCTGCTGGGCACAGTGGTGACAGTTTATTCACCAACCAAGGGTCCCTGGCTGACAGCATGAGTGGGGCTTATGTTTACTCTGCCCTCAGCTTACCAAATCACACCCCCCCCCGGCACCCATGGCCACATGCTGCCAGCTGCCAGCACCTGTCACTCTGTTCAATGGCTCCTTCCAGCGAGACAGTAGCCTGACCCATGTCTGGGGCCAGCCCTCAACAACGATGGGGAAGGTGGATCAATATTCCAGCTTCTTCGCTCTGCAGCCAGAACGACTTTGGGCACATCTACACCAGCTTCCAGCTACCCCATGGGACTGCATTTGCTATGAGACCCAGGTGCAGGCCCTGCCTTCCCTATCCCACCTCCCCACTGCCCTGCCTGTGTCTTCCCACCCAATTAACTACTTGCAGAAAAGACAGCCCCTTCCCACCGTCCCTCAGACCGCATACCCGCTGCATGAAGGGGCTCTTTCTGATGGTCATGAAGCCTCCTGCCCCCTGCATTTGTGCCACAGACCAGCAACAGCCAGAGCTGGTTCACCCAGAGATGAGAGCAATGACCCTTGGAGACCTTGTGGGCAGAGGTGGACTCTGCCGGTCACTGCCACGGATGCAGCAGCATGAGGCTGAGCAAATGGTAACAAAATCCTTAGGGGAAAAAAGCCCTGGGCAGACGCAGGGAAAGGAGCAGAAAGGAGAGCTCCCGCAGCCTTCACTGCCAGCAAGACCCTGGGGTGGACAGGGAGCAGGGAAGAGACGCGTCCTCCAGGACGGACACTGTCCTCAGTGCTGGCTTTGGACAGCATGCAGGGAAGGGGCTGGGGACATGTCCGCCAGACTGCGCAGCTTCCCCTAGGAGGCCTGACAGGGGAGAATGCTGTTCCCACGCGTGTGCACATTTCTCTGTCTATGCTTTGAAAACATCACTACAGGCGTACACAGCACTACTTAAACCAGAAAAGAACCAAAAATTCGTCATTTTGTTTTGAGGTTGGCTTGTCGTTCTAGGATAACTTGCCTAATATGACCCACGACAGGCATAGAAAAGGCATCCTACAAATCCAAACACTGGGGATAAAGTAAAAATGTGGTTTTAAAAATAATATATAAAAATAAACTATAATTTTGAAAATCTCACTCTGTCATTGGGGGCACTTTTTGGGTCTCTCTGAAGCTGAGCAGCCCCTTCCCAGACTGGGGTCCCAGCTGTCGCTGTGCTGGCTTGTGTTCTGTGTTGAGTGCGCCTTTTGATACAGGACTCCTATTTTTTAAACCAGACTGTGGCTCCCTGTGGTGTGTGACCAGTCCCCACGCTGGGCGTCATTCTGAGCAGCACTGCTGGCTTGAGACCTTACCTTTCCTGGAGGAACCTCTGGCTCCATCGTCGCCTCCTATTCTGCCCGCCTCTGCCACTGTGACAATTTGCAGTTCTGTCTTCCGAGGGGCCGTGGAACATCAGGGTCTGGGTCTTCGCTCACTCCGTCCTCCTGCAGTCCGCCGAGGGACACAGCGTCATCGTCCTCCTCCCCTCACCAGAGCTGAGTGAAAGGGCGCGGCCGTGACAACCAGGCTCTAAGAGTTTGCTGCCTTCCAAACGCCTGTCACCATCTCACCGCCCACCCCATACACGTGGCACCGAAGACCCCCTAGGGCTCTCTCTGAAATCACCAGAACATTCTCTAGAAGAGGGTGGTCCTGCCCGCTGTGTCCCCCACGCCATGGCGCCCCGTGGAAGCTCGCCCTCTGATAGAACTGTGGAACGCTGGGAACAGAGGAGAGAGCAGCTCCACGGTGACAGGGGCTGTCCAGCCTCTGCCCCCTTCTGGTCCTGCAGGGAAGTGAGGAGACAGGAGCCCGAGGAAGAGACAGAAATTAGGTCTAATTCCTCCGTGGGCCCTGGGGCCACAGCTGTGTTCAGTAGCAGCTTCCTGAGCGATTACCTTCAGAAGGGCTGGCCGTTGTCTGCCACAGGGCTCAGGGCAAATACCCTTCTCTCTGCTGCCTGGTGCCCAGGTGGGGACAGCAGCTCTGAGCCAGTGGCTCCATGAGGTGGGCTCCAGGGCAGAGTCGCTTGCAAATACAGCCTGAGTAGGAGCGTCCAGCAGGGGTGGAATCAGATCTGACACCCAGCTCTGCTCATGTTCGCCCCACCCAACGGTTCCCAGTTCACCCAGGGGTTGTCACCTCCCAGGGCTCCCAGGTCTCCCACCTCCACCTTCCTCCCCTGCAAGCCATACTCAGCATGCCAGCTGCAGATATCTGAGCATGCCCAGAAGCCTCCAGGGGCTGAGAGTGAACCAGGGTCCTCACGGTGGGCCACAGGGCACCGTGAGGTCTGTGCCTAGTTAATGTAGGCACAGGCGCACACCCACACAAATGCGTGTGCATACCCATGCACGTGTGCCTGCACGCTCAACCTGCACAGACGCACCCTGTCCAGGTTCCTCTGCGTTCTAGCCCAAGTGTCTAAGGGCGGCCTCACTGCCTCTGGGTCTCCACTCAACGTCCCCTTCTCAAGGAGACCTTGACTGAGCTCCCTGTTTAAGGTCCACATAACACATATCCCCAGAGCAGACTTAAGAGTTTGCAGGTGATGTGGCAATGCTGGTGCTGATGGTGATGGTGATGATGATGGTGGTGATGGTGGAGGTGGTGGTGGCGATGGTGATGGTGCTGATGATGGTCATGATGGTGGTGGTGATAGGGATTGTGGTGATGGGGATGATGATGCTGGTGATAGCTACTATAGCAAAAGTTTCTCAGGTGCCAGGGACTAGTCTGCGTGCTTCCTATATTTTGACTCATTCCCTCCCCACCGTAACCTATGCGATAGGTACTGTTATTGTCAACCTCTTTACAGATGAGGAAGCTGAGACTTTCGTGTCTTGGGCAAGTGAAACTCACTGATGGGCTCTTTTCTTAGTGCCCAGATGCTCCTTAGGACACTTGGGAGGCAAGAAGTATTTACTGGGCCCTTGAGAATTGCAGGAAAAGCTCCCTGTGGGAGCTTTCTCTGCAGGACACACCCCAGCGCTGCTGCATGCAGGGGCGTGTCCTCAGTCCCCCAGCCCAAGTCCCCCATCCGCCCTACACTCCTCCCCTTCGCTGCCTGGCTTCCGTGTCTTCCTGCATAACCTCCCCTTTTCGTCCCCAATTTTTTGTCAAGGGATACGGCAGCAGCTTTGAGCAGATACATCGCCGCTGTAGGTGGGTGGCAGCTGAGCCTCTTCGTGGCAGGCAGTTTCTCGTATGATTAAGCATGTACCCACCATGCGACCCAGCAGTCCCACTCCCGGTTCTTTACTCTAAAGGGATGAAAACTTGTGTTCACACAAAAATCTCTACATGGATGCACATAGGGATTTTATTCATAAAACGTCCGACTCGAACCTCTCAGGAGGGTCACAGATCACTGCCTTCTGTCATGCGTGAGCTTTCCAGTCAAAAATGGGAGGAAAGGTTTGAAAACTTTATCCAAATGGCTTTTTCTTTGTTCTTTTCCTTGTGGCTGCTGGGGTCAAGCTGTGTGCAGTGACCCTAAGCCCCCACTAGAGGTCACACAACAAAGATGTCCCCGCAGGAGCAGAGATGAAAGGGACCACCAGGTGCCCAGGGAGAAAGACCTGACTGTGGCCCACCAATTCCGCAAGACGCGATGCCTTCCAGGGCAGCAAAGCCACGCAGCCCCCCACATGGAGGAGGTGGGCTCCCATCTGGCACCGGGTGACCCAGGCACGACCCTCTCCTGTTGCTTCCTTCTACTCTAAGTAATTCTGAGAATACAGAGTCAATTACATTCCTGATCTGTCCCCCCAAACCAAAGGCAGTCCATGCTAATGCGGCACTTATGACCATGTGGGGAGTGAGCCAGATGAGGGTTCCACGAGCATGTCCCTTGAGCATTATTAGAAGTCAGAACACGAAGGTCGTGAACAGAAGGCCCTTAAAGAGCCCAGCTGCTTTTCCCAGAGCCTCGAGGCAGAGCGTGTGGCTGGAGGAAGGTCGCCGCTGAGCACCCACCCCTCCTCTGCCATGGAGGGTCCCTGGAGGCCACAGAGCCATGGCCAGACCGGTGGGACCCCAGGGCCAGGAGCACTCACTGGAGCAGCAGCAGCGAGCCAGGAGGCACCTGGGGCAAGGCCAGGAAGGGTGGCCTCAGCCAGGACAAGGAAGAAAGGAGTCTGCAACTGCACCCCCACGAGGTCCCCAGCCTACTCACTCAGCACCAGGCGAGGGGGTCAGGGCCTAGGCAGCCGACGTGCCCTGATACCACCAGCCCACGTCCCACAGCCCGACATCACTGATTGGAACACCCTCATACAAACAGCTAGTAAAGTCCCCAGTGACGTGTCTGAAATCCTGAATCACATGCTTTCCAACAAGTGACACAGAAGAGCAGGTTCAGGAGTGCAGAGCTGCACCTCGGGCCATCCAACCGCAGATGACAGCCAGCACAAGCAAGGCGGCAAGGCCACAGCGGCCAGCAGGGCAGAGGTCTGGGAAGCCCGAAGGCCCCGGGTCTACCTGCGGCTCCCCCCCACCCAGCACCACCTGGGCTGAGCCATTCCCTGAACTGGGCTACTCAGGCTGTCCTTGGAACCTGTTTTATCAGAATTTCATTTGCCTGCAGGCCTCTGACAGTGACGTCAGCTCTTCCGAATCCTCAACTGCAGTGAATGAACTAACGGGAAGTTCCCTGTGAGCCGGGTGCATGCGCTGGAAGGGAAGCTGCTGGAGTCTGGCCGGCGCAGACAGAATCTGGGACTGACCCTACCAAACTGGAACCAAGGACTGGCTAAGGAGAAAACATTCCCGTTCCCTCCAGGCCGTGCGTGTCCTCACAGCCAGAAGGGACCCGCTGTGCGGGCACCAAGGCCTCGCCTTCCCGGCCGGGGGCTCTGCCAGGACCCCACAGCACCCACACACCAGAGCCAGCAGCCGCTTGAACCGACCGTGGCCCGAGATTAGTCATTACTGGTGGAAACCATTTACACACCAAACACTAGAAGCAGGTCACACATTCGGATTTGAGACTTTTTAATCAGAATGCTCATCCCCGTCCATGTGCTCTTTATGGCCCCAGGGGACACCTCGATGGGACGGGCCCTTTAGAGTGAGCCTCAGGCTCTTGGTAAAAAATGCGTCTTCCTGATTTAAACAGTGGTGCGCTGTTTAGAGCACCAGCCTGCGTGCGTGTGGCCCTGGGGCTTCGTGGCCACCGTCACCATCATTCAGGGACTGCCTCATTTGACACACAGAGTCACGACCAGAGAGGGCATTTAGACGAATCCTGTGAGAGACCAGAAAGGGGACTCTGCCCTCAACTCCCTGCAGGAGCAGCAGAAACTCCCGCAGCGCGGGGTCTGGGAGCTTCTGGACCCGGGCTGCCCGGGGTGCGCTTCTCCACGCCCTCGTCCTGAGGGCGGGCAAAGTACCACTGAGCGCTGCGGCCACACCACTCGCCAGTCTCTCTGGGAAGCAAAGGAAGCTGCAAACGGACTGAAGCTCGGGCAATGGGAATTTTCATTTTATTTGATTAAAGGCCAGTCAGGGAGAGATTAATCGGGAAAACATTTCCTGGGACATCCTCAGGCTGGTCTCTGTACAAAGGCACCACAAGTCAGTCACATCTGGGGGTGGGTCCCTCGAGTCCAGGGTGCCCAGCCCAGGATGAGCGGTAGAGGGGGATGCACCCACAAGTCCACGTGGGGACAGAGCAGGTGACAGGCTGGAGGAGGGGCCAGCTCCAGGCCCTGTGGTCACTGCTCTTCATTCAGGTGACACTAACATTGCTAAAATCTTCAACAGGGTCCCCAGTGCAGGTGTTAACACAACGCTGGGCACAACGCCAGCAGAAGCAGCAGCACTTGGGGTGTTGGAGCTGCAGGGTCCCCGACAGGCCCTGGCTTCCAAAGTGCACCCCTACGTAGGTGCGGCTTTTCTAGAAAGCTGTCCTCCCACCTGCTGAGGGGCTTCCACATCTGACGTGGCCACTTCTGGCCATTAACACTTCCAAGAACTGCCCCTGTATAAACCACGCAAATGCAATAAACGCAGGGACCACTTCAGATGCGTGACCCCACAGACTTGGTTCTGACAGGGCAGCGTGCACAGGGAGGGCGGCGTGCATGGATCAAACGCTGTGTCTGGAGCAGGCCGCTGCGGCAGTCACGTGGCCAGAACGTGGCCTTGGTTCCAAGCTAGAGCGCGTGGTCGGGGCAGGCACAAGTGACAGTTCCTAGTGACCCATGTCGCTAACCCCATTTCACTGACGGATTGAAACTGAGGTTGGGATGAAACGCTTTCGTCCAAAATCCACGTGAGTCAATAGAGAAGTGGGAATGCAATCCTGGATCCCACCCCGGCCTGACCCTCCACCGGCTTCTGGGAGCTCCTTCTCCGCACCGCCCCCAGCCACCTGCCCAGCCCGAACCATCTGCCTCTTCCTGACCCCTCTCGGGGTCGTTTCTGCTGGCTCCATGGGGGGGAGGGGGCAGGCGCGCCCCCCCACAACCTGCTGTACCTGCTCTCGAGAAAAGGACTCTCTGAAGGAGGATCGTGTTTTCCCTGGAAAACCACCGGGGAGCCGAGGATGTGCACGACTCCGCCACTTCACTCTCATGTGCCTGCAGCTGTCCCTCGAAATCTGGGTTATTCTAGTTCATTCTTTGTTTTTTTATTTTGGCAAGACATGCTCAGCTTTCCCATCGCGGTACTGACAGACACGGGGCATGTGTCACACGCCGTATGTCGAGTGCTCGGGGCAGCCGGGCTGGGCGACGGGAGGTGTGCGTTCCGGCAGAAGGCCGCATTTCCAAAGTGCATGCTGCTTCTATTCACAGGTCGCGTCCAGAGCCCCGGAGCTGTGGGGACGTGCGCACAGCCGTGGCCAGTCAGGAGGTGAGGGCCTGAATATTCTTGAGCATCTCGTCGAAGGCCTGTGGGGACGGCGCGTCTGCGTTCCGGAAGGTGGCCTGGACCCGGCTGTACAGGCTGAAGGATTTCAGCTCCAGCCAGACGAAGCCGAAGCGGTCCTCGTCGAAGAGGATGAAGACCCCGGGGGTGCGTTCAGGACTGGTGAAGCCGTGGCCTGCGATGAGGCCGGTGCCATAGAAACTAGAGAGAGACAAGAGGGGGGGGGGGAGGCGTGAGGGGGGCCGGAGGGAGCCACGAAAGCACAGGAGTGGCCCCAGCTGAGCACGAGCCACGTCAGTATTCTCCAACACCCTTCAGGCCATGAGAGCCACTTCCACTATTCAACAGCCACAAGCTAAGAGCCAGTGGGCCGACGGCACCCGAAGACAGCCTGTGTTTGCAGGGGCCGCTGGGAGGGGGCGGCGCGGGCAGACCTCCTGCTGGAAGCACAGCCCTCGGCATGCAGAGGCCAGGGCTCTGGGCCACTCGGGATAAGCGCTGACTCACCTCGCAGGGGACTGGGATTCTCCTGGTGATCGGCCCACCACTGACCACCCTCTACCAACTCACCCAACTAACACGAGACACCGCCACAGGCCCACCGAGGAATTCTGTCCCAAAGTACACACCTTCTAAGCAGGCCCAACGTGACAAAGACCTTAACTTCTGGCCAGTTATGCCACCATACAAATGATTAAGTTATAATAAAACTTAGCCTGCGGCTGACGTGAATTCCAGAGCCAGGAGTTGCAAACGCTCATGTACGGCCCTGAAGCCAACAGCAGGACGGAGGCAGCTTGCGCCTCTCTTACACAGAACTAAGTGCTCCCACTCGGTGAGCGGCTAAGGGGTGCCCAGGACCCACCCCTGCCACCCTGGCCCCGGGGAAAGAGGAGCAGCGCCCGTGTCGCAGGGGCATCTCAGGTGGAGAAAGAAGTGCCATGGCCCAGGGGCAGGTGGAGCAATGGCCACTACGCACAGAAAACAGGCAACAGGTATCCCCCACGCAGGTGCTGGCCAGGCCCTGCAGACACACAAACCAGGATGGAAGGGACACAGCTCGCCCCTCCCGGGCCACGAGAGCCCCTGACATTCAGCACAGGGCGGACCACCGTCCTGCAGGAGCTCCCCAGCCAGCGGCCACGGCACACGCCGTGAGCAACTGGGAGCTAGCTGTAATACTCTCACAGGGTAACAAAGGCTTTTCTTCCGTGGCCACTCAGAGACTCACATCAGTAGAAATTACACTGGAATGCTCTTTGCATGCCTGTCTCTGTAAACCCAAAACCCAGCCACTGTTATCCTAACTGTGCGCCATGAAGAAAGCCCCACCAAGACTCCTAAACCCCTCAGGGCCCAGCTCTCAGCACTCATTGCTCTCTGAGGTCAAGTGAGACGAGGTGTAAGGACGAAGCGTCACGCAGCCTCGACGCCAGCCCCTTCCACACACCCACACACCGTCTCGCACCAGGTGCGGCCCAGCGTGGCCGAGAGGGGCAGGAGACCCCAGGAGGTGGCGGGAGGAGGCAGGGAGGCTGCGTTCACTAGGGACTGCAGAAGCGCCGGCACTGACGTTATGGGGACACCCGGGCACAGCAGTGCTACCCCTGGGCTCCTGCGGGGGGGCGGGCAGGGTGGCTTTGTTCTCTGCTCTCTACTGTCATGGCTGTCGGATAGTTTCCGTGTTTCCCTCGACTGTGAAGTCACTTCAGAGCCGGCGGTGCAGGTGCCTGTCAGAGTGACTAGAGGCACCTGGTTGCAGCCTCCTGCCCCAGCAGCTCTGAGGTCCCCAGCTGCAGCCCCGAGGAGGGGGACAGAAGCCCAGAAGCCTCTGTCCCGAGACCCAGCCATGCGGCCAACTGCTCAGGAAGGGACACAGCCTGAGTGGCCAGAGGTCCTACCCTAGTCTGGAAGCTCCCACCACCCGGCCCACCCCGGCGCAGGGCCACCGTGTCCTCACCACATCCTGCAGGTACGGGGATAGTCCTCGTTCCTCGAGCTCACACCGGCCGGCAGCACGAATGGCTGCCCCTGCCCAGACTGGGCGGACTGCTCACCCGCGGCCGCCGCGTCCCCAGGCTCCCCGCTGTCCTTGGCAGGCGCCGCGTCCAGCTCCTTGCTGGGCGGCGGTGGCTCCCGGGAGCCCTGATGGCCATGGCCCTCGCCTGCCTCTCGCCCACCTTCCTGCTGCTCCTGGCGCACGCGCTCTCGGACCTCGAGAACGATGCGTGAGAGCTCGTTGAAGTTGCGGAGGTTCTCCACATCGGGCAGCTGGATGCGGTGCCGTAGGTCGATCTCCACCGTCTGCTGCCCGGCGGGGATGTTGGGGTCACCCTGCAGGGCAGGGAGGGGTCAGCGGGGCTCAGGACCAGAACAGCAGCCTCTGTGCAGAGTCCAGGCAGACTCCGCCTGTGGCCAAAGGCCTCGAGCCAGTGTCCTGCTGACTTGGGAACCATCCCATATGATGGAGCCACATGTCAGAGGCCCCCAGACAGTGGCACCTGGAGCAGCGCCAAGAGGGAAGGTACTGGGGAGTCCAAACTCAGGGTAGGGTGGAGGGAATGCGTGGCACTGGTCCCAGGAAGCTCGGGAAGGTGGCTCTGCTCCTCCAGAACACGTTACTACCACCAGCCAGAAAGTCCCCACTATAACTACGTGACGACAGGCCAAGACAGTGTGAATGGTGGCCCAGTGGTGGGAAGTGAGCACCTATTCTTAGCAGCCCCTTCAGACCCAGGACAGGGGCTTCGCTGCTGGGCTCACCGCGGCTACAGCCAGGACAGGTGCGACAGCGACCTGTGAATGCAGGGTCTCCAGGTGGGTGCACCCGGTGTCACCAGGCAGCTCAGCAGCTCCTTTCCCAGGCTGCCCCCCAATAACTCAAGTCCCCACAGAGCTGAGCCCCGCAGGACAGCCTGGGACAGCGCACGGCGCTCACCGTGATCTTGGTGCCCCTGGCGCGCCAGCCGTGGAAGCTGAGCATCACGATCTCCAGGCCGTGGCTGCCGTAGGTGCCCTTGAACAGGCCGGGCTTGATGAGGTCCTCTGGGTGGCTGGGCGGCAGGTAGATGCGGCGGTAGGTCAGGCAGTTGCTGCAGAGGGAGCAGCGGCGTCAGCGCGGGAGGCTGTGTGGAGCGGGCAGGGAGACGGCCCACCCAGCACCCGGGCTGAGCCATGTGGGGTGAGGCAGCTCAGCCAGGGCCTTGGGGTCCCCACAGGTCTCCGAGAGCCCCCTCCCCCGCCAACCCACAGCACAGGGCGCAGGCGCTATCGTCCACTTCCAACAGGGCTCCCAGAGGTGGGCCCCGCCACTGGGGGAAGAGCGACACCCCCACGCAGGGCCCTGTGCAGGACTCAGCAGACAGAAGCCGAGCCAGGCTGGAGGGAGACACCCGGATCAGACGGAGACAGTCGCGGTGCAGAGCGGCTGCGCTTACTCGTACTGGCTGGTGTAGATGAACTTCATCAGGATCAGCTCCTGCATGTGCTCGTGGAAGATGTCCTCCAGCGTGCGCCCCCACTCCTCCCTCAGCCACGTCCGGAATTCCTTCGGGAGAACACACAGGCCGTGAAAATCACCCATCACGCCCACGCACGGCAGGAAGCACCTGCGACGGCGCTGGGTGAGAGAAAGGGGAGCCACGTGTGTGCGCACCCGTCCGCGAACAGCGAAGGTTCTGGGTCCCGGCTTTCCCGGGGTGCCGGGGCCCAGGCTCCTGACACGAAGCACTTGCAATCAGAAAGACACTGTTGGATTTCAGAATCAGTGCACTCACACATGGAAGTCACCTGACGGGAACTTTTATGGATCCCAAAGTATGTATTACCAGAAATACGTGGCGTTAAGGCCTCAACAGCTGAGGAGTTTCCATTTTCTTGGAAAATACGCTGACATTTTTCTCTTATTTAAGAACTTATTGTGAACTGCGGCAGTCACATACATGTTGCACGTGTGACTACATGTAAAATGACAGTATTACAAAAGAGAAAGCATTCCCATTGTTTGTCATCCACACATGTCATCTACATAGGAAAACAGGGAACTCATCGACCTTCACCAGACTCCACGTACACACACCTTGTTTATCTCAGCTCTCCCTGCAGGTATCTGGCTAACGGGGAAACCACCAGAAAATCAGGAACTGGTTGAGAAAGACACACCCAACAAGTGAATATAAGCCACGAGTATCCTGTATTTCACAAGTTCAAGTTCTTTGTAAAACTATTTTGAAACGGCAGTGTGACTGGGTCAGAAAACCACAGCTCACGGCAATGTGAAAACAGTCATGCAAACACAGAGAGCCCAGCACACAGGCTCCCCAGCTGCCCTGCCAGGACCCGGAACCTGGGGCTCAAGGATGGAAAACACAGAAGCCCTGAACACGCACGCTGGGTGCAACTCGCACAGAGAAGCTTCCCGGCAGCCCTTTAGCAATGATGCTCCCGCCAGGGGCAAAGAAGGCTAATTAAGGAAACAACCATTTCCATGTGGTTCATTCCGAGGGGTGACAGAGACCAAAAGCTCGCACTCACGTACTCACACCCACGCGATGACAGCATGTCAGACGCATTTTCTGCCTGCCAACGTCAGGCAGCACCACGGGAAACAGCCATGCTGCATGCTGGCGATTTCACACCCTTCGACCTCGAGTGTCTGTCTTTGCCCATTGGGGGAGGCCAGGTCGGCCACCGCGGAGACTAAAGGGCAGGCTCACTGCCCCCCGCAGGCCCACTCACCTCCTGCCTCCCGCCAGACATCCTGTGGTGGTCCGTCTGGTTGCACTTGGTGGAGAACTCGTCCTTCTTCACAATCTTGCATGTTCACAACAGAAGGAAAAAGGACATTGCAATTGAGAAACACAGTCACAGCATGATGGGGTGGCCACGACCACCCGTCCCTCACCTACATCCACCAAACCCACCCACAGATGCCCAAGATGCCACCAAAACGGGCCGTCCAGAGGGAGTGCAGAACCACCCCTCCCAGAGCAGGCGGTGGTGGCCACGTGTCCCAGAGGGGCGCCTGCGACTTCCCAGTGGGACTCGGAAGCGGCGCAGGGCCCATGTCTCGTATGGTGTGCGGAGTAACACGGTGCTCCTTGGGGCGCCTTCCACCAGGCCCCATGGGAGCAGAGTACTTTGTTCCAAGCCGATACTCTTGCAAAGAGGAGAAAAGACACAGAGGAACGGCAGCTGGAAGAACCAGTGGTTCTGACCCAACACGGATGGACGGGGCGTCCCAAGTGAGCCTGAGGAGTCCCGTCCCACCAAACAGCGCCAGCAACGCACAGCGGGCCAGGGCGGAACCTCCCTCCCCTTCCCCAGACTATGCCACCTGTCCGCAGCACAGCTGGCTGGCACCCGCACGGACACCAGCACGCTGTATCTGAGGGAGGCCCCGGCCCCCACGCACCTGGATGTGGCCATTGTGGGGCCCCTTGTGGCCGTACATGCACTCCACCGTGGCAGACTTCCTCTCCATCAGGTGGATTCTGAAGAGGGGCTTGAATCTCATCGGGTCGTCCACATGCGGGTCGTGGGGGGGCAGGTACATCCAGCCAATGATGAACAGGCCATCCACCTGCAGCGGGTGTGGGCAGGGGGCCAGGTGCAGGCTCAGGCAGGCGGAGCGACAGTGGCCCCGCGTGCCCCATCTCCTGTCCGGCAGTGGCAGGCAGCGTACACCCCACCTCTGAGGGGCTGGTCGGGGTGTCAACGAAACAGCCAGACCGAACCTAAGCAAGCACCGCAGCGCTGGCTCCCAGCTCCACAGCCGGGAGGGAGCGAGCCAGACGATGCGAGCCCCCAGCCAGGGCGCTGAGCTAACAGAGAGAGCATAGGTGCTACTCTCAGCAGGGAAGAGGCTCCGGAGACGAGACAAACGCAGCGCGAGGGCCCTGTTTGCCTGATCTGAACAAGCCGAAGTTAAGAGGCAGCCTGGGAAGCTGAAATTCAGGCTGGACGCCAGGGAACATCGAGAGTCAACGCCACTTTAATCAGGTGTGACAGTGACCTGCCAGACAGGTGAGGAAACACCTTCCTCTGAGAATGCCATCCTGGAACAGGAAGGGATGAACTGCCACGGGCCTGGATCTGCTTTAAAATGCTCTAAAACAAGAGCTCAGGGAGGGACAGGTGCTGGGAGTGAGGCGCCTGCAAGAACAGGAGCCAGGAGGTGACACCTGCAGGTGTGCGTCCCGCCATCCTGTCCCCGGGTCCCCTGGGTGTCGAGGGAGAGCACATGCAAGCAGGGGCAGCCCCGACACCAGCCCGCACGGCGCCTGACCAGAGCCACCCCCTTCTCGGAGAGCTGCACCCGCTGCCCCGGCCCCAGCACCCGAGGAGAGGATGTGATCTCTGTGGCCGATGAGTCTGAGACGAGAGGGAGCTGGTATCACTCTTCCCGTCTCCTTAATTATCCCGCTTTCCAGAGGCTGCTTTTTTGGTCTTTGTTTTTTGCTTTAACTCTATTAGTCACTGCCAGTAAGAAAAACAATTATCGCCCTCCCGACTAAAAGAAAAGAAAGAAATCCGCCCACGCTGACAGCGCCTGGCTTGTCTCTGGAGGGAACATTCTAAAAGCAAGGCTCATCCCAGTGACCTCAAACCGACATGCGTGTGTGTCTCAGCGGGTGCTTCCGCCAAGTTACAAAGAAGGAGCAGCGTTTGTCCCCACCGAGCCCTGCCTGGTGAGCAACATGCAGAGTGACCGGTCACCCGGCGGCCTGTGGACACCAGGCCCCGGAACCTGCACAGAGCTGTCCGTGCAGGGCCACGGCGAGGGCACACACACCTGCTGCGGTTAAACGGCGCACACAGGACTGGACTCGGCTCCGTGCCCAGAGTGCACAAAAGAAGGGGTCAAAATCTAAACGCCGGCACCCAGCAAGGGCAGCTCACTTCGTTTTTACTGTGGCATCAGCTACAGTGACACCGCAGGGTCTAACCACATACGCCTGGGGGGCTCCAGCCTTCTGTTCAAGGGAACAAGAAAGGGCCAGAAACAGGGGTTCACGCCTCAGTCCAGGCACTTTAGGAAGCTGAGGGAGGAGGACCCCTGGAGCCAGGAGTTCGACTGCACCACTGCACTCCAGATAGGGAGACAGGGCAAGACCCTGTCGCTAAAAAACAAAGACAGAAAGTGAGCCCGTAGGCTATGGGGACACCTGCACCACAGGGGGACAACTGCACCACAGGGGGGACATACCTGCACCACGGGGGACCTCACTCCACACGCAACACCTGCCAACACCCAGAAGTATCAGAACACCTAACTGTTTAAATGGGCCAAAAAACGAGCAACTTTTTAAAATAAATAGGCAAGTGACTGAGAAGCACATACAAAGTGAAACTATAGAAAGACTTCTGCTTCTAGTTCCGACCAAGGAGCGGCGGTCACACCGACCCTCCTGCTAAGACCCTCGACAAAGCTGAACCCACTGAAGGTTTCTAAATGCTGCTTGAAGACATCAGGGAACCACCAGCCCAGAGATGGGGCCCCAGATCCTGAAGAGAAGGGACGGGAGCGGCCCGGCCTCCACCCCTCCCCAAGGCCGCCGCCCGCTGTGGCCAGGCAGAGAGGGCTGCAGAGGTGCGTGCGGAGGTCAGGTACTGACTGTGAGGGCGGAGCTGGACACACAAAGCAGGCTCGTGCCCCTGGTCCCAGAGCGCTTAGCTCCTCCCCACCGGGCGCCGCCTGCGGGGCCCTCACTCACCACCACGTTCAGGAGTCCCCCGTAGGGCCCGATGTCCGGCTGCCACAGTCCCAGAATGTGTCTGTACCGGTGAAGCACTACGGGAGAGAGGAGTCCTCGAGTTAGGCCTGTGCTGCTGCAAACCAGGGACGGCACGGGACGGGGAGGCGTCCTGGAGAGGCCACCCACAGGCTTGCGCGAGAGCCTTGAACAAACATGCACCGGACCTCGCCTACAGGTGTCCAAAGATTTCTAAGATGACACTGTCTTTGGGAAGCCTGAATGGAGTGAGTTTCCTATAAGTGATGAGCTTCCTGTCATGGGGACTCAACAAGGCTGGGAAAGCCCTCTGAGGATGACAGAAGACGCGCACAGCGGGTGGAGCGCCTTCCTCATGCCAGGAGACCAGGTCCTCACGGGCATGTGAAGCGATCAGACCTTTGCAATTATGGTAACTAATGATCAGATCCTGTCCTTACCCTCAGGAGGCCTGAGACTGGACTTCTCCGTCACGTGCCAAGCCAGCCAGCCCAGGCCCCCTCGCCTCCAGAGCAGCTGCAGTTCATGGGGCCTGGGCCACTGTGCCGGTGCCTGCCTTCCCCGCCCACCTGTCACCTCTCTCCGTGGCTCCCAGCTGGCCCTTCATCGTCTGGCTGCACGGCCTTCCTGCCTGTCCACACCGCCTGCTGCTCCTCTCAGCCCCCTAACGGGGATCACACCGACCCCTCTGCAGCCCCCACAGTCGCTTCTGCATTCACAAGCCCGTCCCCACCTTGCACAAGCCACCCCCTGCCCACTAAATGCCTGCTGAAGCCTGCCTCACCCACTCCAGCACTGTCAGCTCACACCGTTCAAGAAGCCTCACACGTCAAGGAAGGGACACCAGCGTGAACACCAGGAGGAGGTGACGCTTGGTGACTCCCCTATCTGGGTCTGGGTTCTCTCTGCTGGATGCAACAGCTGATCTGGGGGTGGTCCCAGGAAGGAGGTAGCAGAGCTAAGAGACCGGGCAGGAGGAAGAGCCAACAGAAAAGATGATTTGCAGACACCTGCCCATTGCTGTCACTCAAGGGCAGAGGTGGGTGATCCAGGCTGTGACTGCCCAGCAAGTGCCAGCCACCAAGCCCTGCACCGGCTTCCAGAGCCTCCAACAGAGGGGCAGAAAGTGCTGGGTCCCGTCAGACATGGGGCTGCCCATGAGGGGAGGCTGAGCTCCCCCAGGACGCCACCAGGACAGCAGGCAGGAGCGAGGTGGGCAGAGGAGCACCCCTGGGCACCTGAGGGGCTGCTGGAGCACGCCTGGAGGCCAGAGCGCAGCCCCGATCTCCAGCAGAACTGAGAGGCGGGTAACGAGAGAACACACAAAGCCACATCGGTAACTCAGAGGGAGAAAACAACAGACCCCAGTCATAACAGCAATAAGCAAATTAAACCAACTAACATTTTTTAAGACATCAATAAAGACAGAGACACGCCATGTTCTTCCATGGGAAGAACATACTGTGAAGTCAGAAGTTTCCCCCAACTGATTATAAATAATGTGATTCCAACTAAAAACCCAAAGGTTTTTGAAAATAATTTAACAAAATGATTCCAGAGTTTATGTGGAAGAACAGGTGTTGATAGCCAATACTACATTTCAAAAAGTTCCCCCAAAGATGCTCATGCCGCTGGCCTGGGACCACACTCTGAGGACCACAGATCCGGCCCAATAGGAGAGCCTGGAAAACACTACAATAATCTTTTGGGGTGGACACATTCCTGTAATTCCAGGCGTTAAAAGCACTAACAGGAAACACTCCGTCCCGGCCCTGCCAGCTAACTCCGACTGGCAACAGGAAGGAACACAGAACGGCGAAGCATGAAGCTGGCACACTGGCGAAACCAAGCGCAGAGGATGGATCTCGCAGTCCCTCCGCATGGCCCCCAGCACGGGACTCAGCGCGCCGCCCCGCACGGCAGGGAAGGCGCGGGGGCACCTTTCTGTCTTCATCCTTCCCGACCACCTCCTCCCTCCTCTCCGTCCCGAGGTGTCCCCAGCTCCTCGTGGCAGGCTGGGGCTGCACAGGCAGCCTTCCCAGCAGGCTGCTCTGTGCGGCAAGTGCCTGAGTCACCTGAGGGTCAAAAGTGGCCCTCCATCGCCTTACCAGGTGGGGGTGACGCTGCCCCCAATCCCCTGTACCTGCTCAGAGCAACCTGGAACACCACCCTCAAGACGCCCTCTGCCTACACACGGTCATTTTCAAGTTCAAAGTGCAGCGTGACCGTCTCCATCAATGTGCACACGAGTGCATGTGTCAGACACGTCACGAGGACAAGGCACTCCTCCATAGCGCTCCCAGCACCCTTCAGATGCAAACCGTCCAGAGTACCAGGCAGCAACACACAGCCAGGAGAAAAAACGAGCAGGAAAGACACCCTGGAAGAAGCCAATCTGAGGTCACAAAACTACTCGGCAGAGCTGGGGTCCTCGGCCTTGCCGGGCTGACCTGCTGCTGCGCAGACAGCCTTGCGTCCAGGGAGTGGGCTCGATCCCTCACGTCCAGCCCCCGGCGTCCTCCCTGGCCCAAAAGCACGGGGTCCACAGGAAAACACAACCAGGGAACAACACCGTCTCACAGCTCGAGGGTGACGGAAACTCAAACAGCATGAGGTCCCTAAACACTCATCAGCCAGACCTCCGAAAGGTCACAGTGACAACACAGAGCGAAGTTTGAGGTGCCCTCCATTAAACACTCTAAGAACACGCGAATACTGGAAACACAAACACACGATGGCTTTCAAACTGGTTGTTGAATTGGGTTTCTTTTTTCACGTACAAAGAACCTTTTTCCTGGTAATCAAGCAGGTTGTGGAGCTAACAGACCACTGATTGTTTAAACGTGTCCCCAGAGAAATGCAACTGATGTTACAACTGATGCTTTTCACTATATTTTCTGGATTTTCCAGGTTTTCCACAACGACTATTTTTATCACCACATTGAAACCGTAGGGGGGACAGGAGCACACGCATGTGACAGTCTGGAGCCACATGCCCACGCAGGCACTGAGGGCCACCACTCATGGGGCTTAGAGTCCAGATGCTCCCAAAGTCCCCCCAGCAGCAGCTGGGGTCTACCCCTTGGAAGCTGGGAAAAGCTCCCGGAGAACAACCATGGGGGCTCCCTGGGTCCCGGAGGCCCAGCCTGCCCCAGGCTTGTCAGAGTTCACCCTAGCTCCACAGTGTACGCTCCGGAGGAACCCTGGGATGGAGGGATGACGTCACTGAGTGACTGTCCACTTGTACTGAAAAGCCCAGGCCAGGCGGTTCCGGTCAGCACAGCAGGATCGATTGTTCTCATCAGTTCTCGCTACATCAGCCGTTCTCTCCCACGGGGCTGGAGAAGGCACCGGCATCGACTGCTAGGCGGGAAGAGCAGGTCGTCTACGACAAAATGTTCTAGACAGCTATTTCCAGAAGGTTTGGGAAAGGACAGCACTGGTGTCTCCAAACATGCCCACCCCTCCCCAGCAGTCTCAGTCTCAGCCCCTCCCCACCCCAGGATGCTATTCACGCAGACCCTGATGTGTCTGTTGCCCTCGACCTCCACCCAGCTAGACAGGTCACCTCCGCACCTGTTCACACACAAGGCAGGTGTGTTAGTCGCTGTGCAGGGAGCTCAGACACCACCCAAAGCAGGCTGAACACACCAGGCATCGCTGCATTAACCTCAGGACTGTCCCCTAGGTAACACGGGCTCCAGTCATCAAACTGCAGCTGTCTGCCCAGGGTCCAACAGAATGCTGGGAAAACTTCTGTGAACTGCCCTTGTTCTTTCTGCTCCTGGCAGGACTTGTCAGAAATTGGGTATTTATAAAACTCAGAACTGTGTGGCTCGCAGCGGGCCACGCTAAGACCAGGGCACTCTGACAGGCTGAAGGGACCGCAGGGCGGTGGGGACAGTGGGGGCTCCACAGCCTCCAACAGCCCCTGCACGGCCGTCAGTGCGGGCAGGCGTTTCCAGTCTCTTTCTTCCCAGCTGAAATTCGCCGTCCCCGTCTCCACCAGCCTCTCTGAGCTAACGCAGCGAACACAACGTTAATGTCCTGTGACTGTGGCTTAGAAAACTTTCCAGATGAAAGAGGGACTGGTTCTAAAGAATGAACTGGTGCTACCTGTGTTTGTCCACTGTGAGTATATGCTTTTCTAAAATCATGTATGCTATTAAAATGTGATTAACTAATAAAGCCTAGAAGTCAACTACTTACATCTCATCTGAGAAAAGTTTTAAAGCTTCTACTGTTCTCTCCTTGCTGCCTCTGCATGACTTTTTGCAGTTGCTTCCTCCATAATCAACCAACGTTAAAATGTGCACCACACAGTGATCTCGATCAGTGCTGCCCCAAACCCAGAAGCTGCTGGAGAAACCCGACCCCCACACAGCTTCCCTGGGGCCTGCACTCTGCTGTGACCTCTGTCGTGGCCAGACCACAGAGCAACACCACGGCCAGGTGAAAAGACAGCAAAAGCCAGGAGGTCAGCTTGCTCTGGGGCCCCAGCAGTCCGGTCTGTGCTCAGACCCTCTTCATGCGGGTTCTAGGCGTGCTCGCTGCCGCAAAAGCGAAAGCCAGTGGGAGGTACATACGGCAGGTGTACACATCTCTGTACTCCATGTGCTCGTAATCGGGGAGGATTTTCATAAAACGTCCTGACTTCACGCGCGGGTTTATACCTGAATAGACACAGCAGGGAAAGGGCTAAGGATGGCTCCTTTTTCAAGACTGTTTTTTTTTTGTTTTTGTTTTGTTTTTGTGATACAGTCTCGCTCTGTCACCCTGTCTGGAGTACAGTGGCATCATCGTAACTAACTGCAACTCCAAACTCCTGAGCTCAAGCCATCCTCCTGCCTCAGCCTCCCGAGTAGCTGGGATCACAGTGTGCACCACCAACGCCCGGCTAATTTTTATATTTTCAGTAGAGATGGGGTCTCACTCTCACTCAGACTAGTCTCGAACTCCTGAGCTCAACTGATCCTCCCACCTCAGCCTCAAACTTCTGATTAAGTGATCCTCCCGCCTTGGTCTCCCAGAGTGCTAGGATTACAGGTGTGAGCCACCTGTATTTTTATTTTTAATTTTTGTTTTGGAGACAGGGTCTCGCTCTATCACCTGTGTCCCCACCGTGTGCTACTTCTGGTGCTTACAGCTCTTAGAAATCTGGCTGGGCGCGGTGGCTCATACCTGTAATCCTAGCACTCTGGGAGGCAGAGGCGGGTGGATTGCTTGAGGTCAGGAGTTTGAAACCAGCCTTAGCAAGAGCGAGACCCCGTCTCTACTATAAATAGAAAGAAATCAATTGGCCAACTAACATATATATATATATATAAAATTAGCCAGGCATGGTGGCACATGCCTATAGTCCCTGCTACTCGGGAGGCTGAGGCAGGAAGATTGCTTGAGCCCAGGAGTCTGAGGTTGCTGTGAGCTAGGCTGACGCCACGGCACTCATTCTAGCCTGGGCAACAAAGCAAGACTCTGTCTCAAAAAAAAAAAAAATCTGTTCCACACTGCTTTGAGACAATATGGGCCAAATGGCTTAACAAACTGAAAGAGCTGTCAGGAGAGGAAAACGTGCCGTGTGAGACACTCATGGAAACCACTGACCATCCGAAACAGCCAACAGTTTCATCCACAGAGCGAGAGATGGAAACATTCCCGGCACTGAAGGAAGGCCGGCTGGGGAGGCAGTGTGGGGCTGAGGAAGGACACTGAGTACTCCGTGAATGTTGCCCATGACTTCAGAAAGCAAAGGATCCGGGGAAAAAACAAATAGGGTGTTGGAGGCTCAACCTGCTCATGGAAAACTGAGGGGAAGGTGGAGCTTCGGTGGGGCAGGGGCAGCCTCTCTATGAGTGAAGGCCAGAGGGAGGAGGTCACCCAGGAAGCGTCTGCTCACGTCTCGCAGGGCTGGAGGCCCAGGCCCAGGCCCAGAGCGGCAGGCAGCGCCAGGGGCACCAGAGCTGTTTCCTGTGCAGCCCCCCTTTCTCAGATCCAGGGGTCCAGGATGCCTAGCAAGAGACACTGCACCCACGATGCACGGAAAAGCGAATGACGCAGGGCCCCAATCCTGGTGCTGTTCCCACCAGTGCCATATTTAAAACGTAGATTGCGAGTGTGAGTTAGTGTCTGAGAAAACAGAACCATGGGCCAAACTGTTTTCATCATTCGTCCGCTTCTGGTACAAAGTGAACAAGGACGATAACAGATTTACTCACGCTTGGCATAGACATCCCGGCAGGACACGCCCGTGATCTCCAGTTTCCGCAAGTTTTCACAAACACCATACTCTGTAACAAGAAACAGTTGCTGAAATGTAAAACCTAGAAATCGGAAAGCAACAGGGGTGGACAGGCTGCTGAGGCCGCAAGCACACGTGGCCTTGGCCCTGCTCCCGAGTGTGCATCTCTCACCATGGGGACCCCACTGGTCTTCCCCGGTCAGGCAACGCTCTCATTCGCCAATGTTGCCATTATTTTTTGTCAGCATCACCCTTGATGAAATAATAGTCTGCACTATTCTGATGAGCTCCAGAGCTTAACCACACAAACCAAAATCAGACAATCCTTGGTTTATGAATAAGGTGTGGCAGAAATTCAGCTGTCTGGACACAGTGCCATGTCCCCATGGAAACGTGATCACCACTGGTGCTAGGGCCCAGACGGCCACAAAGGCCTATTCAACCCCACGTGCCTCACCATGCCGCCGATTCTGTTCCACTCAGCTGCAAGGCCGGTTGTCGAGAACCATGTGAGTCATAGGGAGGAGGTGGACATTCGTCCTTCTGCACTGGCTGCCCCGGGCCAGGGCTCAGTGAAGGGTTCCCTGGCACCTTCCACTCCCCCTGTTCACACCCCACTGCCAGCGCCCTCCTGCCCCTCCTCCCTGACCCCTCCCCCCCAGCTCCACTATTCGGTCACCATCCGCATGTCCCTGCTGGCTCCTCTGGCTCAGGTCTCACCCGCCTTTGAAAGGACAGCCCCGGCTGAGCTGACCTCCCTACCACAGAACTGCTGTCAGTCCCAGCATCCTCCCACGCGCCAGCACCAGGCCAGGCCTGCCAGGCATCGCTGTGCCGCGTCCCGCCAGCAGGCCTGTGAGAGTCGCCATGTCATCTGACTCAACACCGAGGAGACAGGCTCGGCAAGGGGATATGACTCCCACAAAGGAACGAGAGCTTAGAGTGAGTCGGGAGTCTGTCCTCACTGCAAACCAGCCCAGGGAAGTGCAGGGGCCACTCCCAAACCACCCCGGCACCTGCTGCTTGCGATGGCAGAGCGAATGATACCAGCTCACTCCAGTTTGTCTGACTGTCTGTGGATGTGACATTTGCCTCCCAGGTGGGACCAAGGACTGGGAAGAATCTCTTGAGCGAAAATTTGTCAACAATGGAATACGTTGGTTTGGGAGAGGTCTCCGGCTCTCCGAGGCGCTCGCCTGGGACGGCAGGAACACACAGAAAGAAAGTCTGCTGCTGCTTCTGTGAGTCTGCGGAGGTCACAGGATGCTCAGACCCCACGGGGAGGCTCCGCAAGGCCCCCTCTTGGGGGAGCCGGGACAAAGTGCGCAGTGTGAGCTACAAGTGACTGCAGCATAAACGTCTTCACTTCTCACCGTGAATGAAAGGATTGGACTCAATCCTCTCTAAATTCCCTTTCCAAACTCTCAGCAGTCTCCAGCTCTAACTGGAGGAGAGAGAAGAGTCATCAGCAAACAGTCGCCACCAGCAAGGGGGAGTGGGAGCACACATGAGCAACTCCACAAACCGAAACACGCTGCCTGCCACTCTGAAGCAAGGAGGAAACAATGCCAGCAGGTACCATGAGCCACCAGCAGTCTGAGAGCCTGCAGCGCCCAGGTCCCTGCAGACCACCCACCCTCGTCAACCAGCAGCGGGCCCCATCCCCCGAGGTCTCCAAACGTGTCGGACCGGCTGAGAGGAGCCGCGCTCACTGTCAGACCGTGTCCGGCATCTCCTGTGCGTACTGCTGGATGCCAGCCACGACCCAGGGTCTCCTCCTGAGCCACCCAGTCGGCTGTCACTATTTTGTCTGGCTCGCCACAAACACACCTTTCCTTCTCTCGCACAAAGGATGCAATTCAAACTTGTTACTTCGTAGCAAAGGCTGGCGCTTCAGTGTGTCTTCCGTGTGGCTTTCAAAGGACGGTTCCTGGGTTCCAGCACGCCACTGGCGCACAGGACACTGCCTCACCGGTGCAGTCTGCATGCCAGCAGTGGTCCTCTCACACCGCACAGTTTTGTGACATGTACAAGTGCTGCAGGCGACATGCTCCGGTCCTCAGTGCCAAGAGTCAGGTAATAGGGCAGAGACCAGAAAACACACCCGCGGTGCCCTGTTCGTGCTGCCTGAAGTCAAAAGCCAGCCCTTGGCAAGGCATCCATATTGTCGTAGGCAGCTTCTCTTTGCTCAGATTGCTGAAAGCTGGTGACCTGGTTCTGTGCATTTTCACTGAGTCCAGCGCTCACTCTAACCTGACGGCACGAGGCACTGCCTTCCAGCAACTGCACAGACATCTGACTGATTCCAGGGTTTCTGCCTGGGATGACAGCATCGTCAGAGCCCCAGGCCAGCACAGATCTCTGTATCCAGTGCCAACAATGGTACTGATAATACCAAGTAGGTGATGAACTGGATGCTCAATAAAGCATCCACAAAACCGACATTAAAAACCAGAAGAAAAGCAAAACTATGGTGTAGTATTGACAAATATGACAATCCTCAGTGGGTCTTCCTGATGTTCCCAAAAGGACATAACAAACACACCAGAGTAAAATGTCACTCTGATCCAACTGTTCCTGCAAGAAATGTTTATTTTCCACATGCTGAAAAAAATCTTTTCTTAAATAGTGGCTCAGAACAATTCCACATCCTCTTACTGTTCTATCAACCTTCTCACAACAAGCCAACAAAGGAAACTGCCCTTAAAATAGCTTTAAGGCCAGTGTACTTTCCAGCAACCACGTACCCTTCCTTCCAGAAAAACCAGCAAGTGCTAACCCACATCCTTCTGTACCAATCTCACCCAAGATGACATAAAGATAGCACGCCAACCTACGCTGCTTTTTAAGTAACGGATTTAGTGTTGTAGGCTGTCAATGCAAAAAGTTTCCCTGCTAATCTATTTCCTTTCACTCTATTGAAATGGATTAGGAAATTCTTTTTGGAAAGTGTACTCCAAAGATGGCAACAAAGTAACAAAAGTTGGAAAGAAGAAAAAAAGTGAGTGAGCTGGAAGAAATATATAAAATTAAATGGTCACACTGTGGAAATTAGTATGGCAGTTCCTCAAAAAAGTAAACTTAGAATTACCATATGACATAGCAACTCTACTTCTGGGTATACACCCCAAAGAATGAAGGCAGGAAACAGACATTTTCCCACCCTTGCTCACTCACCACAGCCCCAGGGGGAAAGGTTACACCAGTGTCGTCTCCCACCCAATGGAATCCTATTCAATCTTGAAAAGCTAGGACTCCTGATGAGAGACGAACCCTATGACGTTATGCTGCATGAAATGAGCCCGTCACAAAAGGACAGACAGTGTAGAATTCCACTTCCACGCAGTCCCTGAGGAGGCAGATTCAGAGACAGAAAGTAGACTGGTGGGGCCAGGGGCTGGGGAGGGAAGGGGAGGGTGGGAACAGGGCGCTGTCATTTAATGGTACAGGGTCTTGGTCTGAGGATGGATGGTGGGGATGGCCACACAACAGTATGAGCAGTACGAGCGTACTTAGTGCCCCTGAACTGTACACTCAAACATGGGTAAAATGGCTAACTTTATGTTTATTTTTACCACAATAAAAAATTAAATTGCCACTTCACATATTCCAACCAGAAAATTTCCGAAAAGCCATTTAAGAAATGTTTTTGCCAAGAGGGAAAGAACGGTCCAGTGAGCCGGCCTGAGCCCAGTTACCACTGAAGCTGTGTGCTCTGGCGACTCCCTTGCCAGGGGCCACCACTCTCTGGACTCTGACTTCCTGTCCCACAGAGCTCACTGCTGAGTGACAGGGGCTACCAGGGCGCAAACCTGAACACACACAGCCCTGCTGTCTAGTCTCTCTCCCACCGCGATGGCCTGCAGTGCCCCCTCTGTCGCCCCCTCTCCCTCTGCCCTCCGCTCCAGGGAGCCAGCTGCTTCGGAGGCTCCTCCCTGGAGCAGAGGGTGCAGGGAACCAGGTGCACCCTCCACAGCACTGCGATGCTACCCATGCCTCGCGTGGGGGCAGGTGGCGATGAGACACAGGGTCATGAATCAGTGCCCTGTCTGAATGCTGGGGACCACAATCAGAGGGAACTCAGCGTCACACTCCCAAAAGCGCCTCAGGGGAAAGGCACTGTCGCCAGGACGCCATGAGAGGCGAGCTGGTGGGTGCACGAGACAAGCTTGGAAAGAGACCTCTGCCCCAGCCCCAGGGGACTCCAACGCCAGGGGCTGGGCTCAGCAGGGGAGAGCGGCTGGATGTGCAGGTGGAGAACTCGAGCAGGCGGCACGCACTCCCACATCAGCGGCGGTGCCTCAGGGTGGACACTGAAGCTGGCAGGACCCTGTGGCTCTGGAGCAGGAGGGGTCAAGGACACGCGCCGAAGGAAGGTGTGCTGCCCGCTTTAAAAGTCAGTATTGATTGGAAAGACTGCATTTGTGTCTGCACTAAATTAGGGGATGATTATAACCCTTGAGGAAATACGGCCGAAACTCTTTTGCTTCTGAGGCTAGAGGAAGTTAAGGCACAGGGAACAAGCTGGGGAAACGCCAGGCCACGAGGCAGCCCTCCGACCACCGGCAGGGACCTCAGACCTGTGCTGGGCCTCCCCCACACTCACTGCAACTCAGCCATTACTGTGACTGCATGAAACTCTGTTTTTAAATAATGCAGTGGGTCTGGAAAACACCCCTGCAGCCAGCCCCCTGAGGATGGGAAGAATGTAAAAACCAAAACCTGGACCCAATCCCTACATGTCTCCACCAAACACAGGGACCACCTGGGATGCTAAACAGGATGGCTGAAACTGCCGCACCAGGGGGACTTAATTCTCAACGAGTCTGATCCCTGCCGAGACAGTCTCCGGGCAGCAGAACCTGGAGAAGCCTGGAGAAGCCCGGCTCTCACAGCCAGCGGACCTGCAGCGCCATCCTACCCCCATGGCCGGCTGCCACCCCGGCCCAGGGAGCCGCCTCCCACCAAGGCCCGTCTGTCATCCCCAGACACCCTCTTTCCTGCAGGGCACGGACGCCCTCTGTGATGCCGCACACCACTCATCTGTTA